AAGCGAGTTTGACGACAAGAACTTGGCTTCGGTCAGAAGGACCTTGGCAGACAGCGACCACCTGTCCGTGAGCAGCGGGCGACTACTTCTGGGTACCGGGGCAGGGATTTGGTGCGGCTGTAGTTTGCTTTCGGTGCGAACGTAGTTGGAATGACAACATGTCAAAAGTCTAAACCCTGGCTTCCCAGTTCCGACTTACTTTACATGGGGTATATACCCGTTTTAGGGAGAGGGGTATTAACAGGCATTTGCCCGAGGGCAATGCAAAAGGAGTACGCACAAGCACCTCTGGAAAACGGCGAGGTCGATGCCACCCGACATTTTGGGCCAAGGTACAGACATCAAGTTCTTGCAGAAGCCCGATGACTTCACCGAGGCCGCGGCATCGCTCAAGGAACACGAGGCGGGGGTTTGGGAGTCGGGAGAGGTGTTTCCAGTGCATCAGCTGGAAGGGGTTCGGTTAGTAAATAGAATAATCATTTTGGTGGTGGTGGTTGGTGGTTGGTGGTTGGTGGTTGGTGGTTGGTGGTTGGTTGGTTGGTTGGTTGGTTGGGTGGGCGGGCGGGCGGGCGGGCGGCGGTGGCGGGGGTGGTGGTAATTGGCGACCAGAACGGGACTGCAGTCTCAAACACCCTCCCCGGACCATCCACAAACAAACTCCGCAAGTGTCAGCAGAATCTCTCCGGCCAGCCTTTGAAGTCTGCAACCCTTAGCCGAAGCCAATATTCTCACTTGTCACCCGCGCAGGTGACAAATCTCACAGGCAAGACAGCCCATGAGTCCACACAAATGGCAACATGGCAAGGGGTCAGAGCTGGTGACACGGTTCCTTCACTCCAAGCCGTGCCCTTGACTGACCCGACCCTCATTCACACTCTTGTACTGGAATACACTCACCTCCCTGTTTGGGGATGGCCATTTGCCCACCATGTTTCGAGGAAAGGTGGTTTCCAACAATGAGCTCTGCTGAATGAATCGCCACGCCTGGCTCTGCAACAAACTCATTAGTGGCCAGGAGGCAAGGCAGGCCCAGCAAAACTATGCCAGCCGGCCGTGAGCACGGCCGCCTAGCGATCATTTTGACATGTGCTGACTATGTTCAAGCGCGTAGATTCCGACTATTTTCTCAAATGAGCTGTTTATGTGATCTGCAATTCTCAGCACCAAGCTCCTCCCCGCTCAAGTGGAACAATATATATATATATATACATATATATATATATATATATATTCGGTCTTCGACGCACCATGATTGGCCACTAATATATATATATATATGGGTCTCTGTGTGTGTGTGTCAACGTTAGGAACCCTTGTGGACGATTCTAAATGAGAACCAACATGAAACCATCTGTGCGGAGCCTTTCGCGGTTTGACACATACCCGACGCATTGACTACGTCATATAGGCACATATGAATAATAGATAAGTAAGTATTATATGTATATATATATATATATGTATATATGCACCCGCGCCGCCACGTGTGTCGTGCAAGATGTAAGCAACATATGCAGATGTACATGGCGTGCAGGCGATCTACATGATCGACCGCTTCTGGCAGGGGGAGACGGCGGATGGCCAGCCCGTGAGTGACGTGCTGTACCGAATGAACCACTCGGGGCCGCAGTGCCCGGGCCTTCTGGGGGACTTTGTCTACCTCAGCCCGGGTACAGAGGTCTCCATGCGAAATCTGCAGTCCAAGATGTTGTGGTACATGAACCAGCCTAGGCTACTGACAAGGAGAGGGTGAATAGATCATGAAGAAATCATGCTAACAGGGACGAGAGCCACTGTTGCCATAATTGGTCGGTTGCAAACAAGCCATGTTTGTGCAGATGGTTGGTTGTTTTTGCTTTCTGTAAGTCTTCAGACATATTCACAAATTATGACCGCCTGACACGGGGGGTTTAGGGGCTCCCATGTTGAAATCATGGTAAACCATGGTTAGCTGGTATTTACAAGGGAATCATCATTCCAGGGTTTCCTGGGTGAAGCAGGATTTCGTCCATCCACAGTATAAGCTTCCGCCCTATGGTTGCCAGGTTGCGGAACTAAAACCCGTATAAACCCACCAATGAACAGCCGGAACCAGACGTTCGGGGAATGGTCCCTTTTGAAAGGACAATGGTCCAAACCAGGACCCCCCTTTAACGTCAGCTTCCATGCTAATTGGTGGAAGATTAAAAGTGGACACCAAAAAGGAATCCACCCACTCAAATCCGTATAAACCCCTGTAGAAATCAGATCCAATCGAATTCTCATTTGTCAGGACCATCCCGCCCTGTCCCGCCAGCTGTATGGCCTCCAATGGCCTGCATGCCATCGATCAGTTTGCGCTGGTCATGGCGCTGGGCGAGGCAGTGAGGCGAGAACGATGGCCGGTGCTCAGGGAAAGAGAAAACTGGCGATTGGTGCTTAAAACTGCCGCAAGTCAAGATCTGATATGAAACTTGCCAAAGGTGAAATGAGTTTATCGTGGTCTATTTGGAACGGAATAAATCAAAAAGCGCAATTGTGGTACTTGCTTGTGGTGTGTTTCCTTGCACATCTTGACCAATGCAGTGACGTATCACATAGGGATGTGGTTCAATTCTCAAACCATTGGGCGATTTCCTTGCCCCAACGGCTATGAATTCACAGGTTGGTGGAGTATTAAGCCCCATATACATCATATCCACCAACGGGAGGAAAGCCACAATCCCATGCCACCTGCGAAGAACTGATTATTTGGTGTCACTCGCATGGAGTCGGTTTTGATCGATTCCAGGCCTGCTGGGCAGGGCTGCTTTCCGCTGGATGCAGAGAAGTACTCTCATTGGTACCCGCGCACTACCAAGACGCAGGTAGGGCGTTTGGGAGCTCGATGTGGGGATCAGACTTTGGTGGAGATCCGGGTTCAAGCTCAGGTGTCACGAATGTTTTCGCAGAGAAGAGGCTGTCACAAACTTGTAGATATTGACGCGCTGGTAGGTTCTACGACAAGGGCAAGGCAGTCAGTTCACGGGCGTTTGACGAGTGCATAGGTAGCAGAGCCGTCCAGACCAGTGTGTACATAGATGTTTTTTTTTCGCCGGGTTACCTCTTTTGGATGTGGGGGACATAAGTGCACTAGACGCAAACAAGTAACAGAACTGCTTGTGCGACGGTCAGAACACCGTTTAAACTTGTTTCAACGGTCTGCATTGAAAGACCCATATTCAAACGCATTGCCCACATGGCAAGCTTAAGTGTCATCACGCTGCTTGGCTTGCCCAACCCTGATGCCAGGAATGCGTTGGTACAGTCGCCAAGCAATCTGTTCTTTTTGACGACCCTTCCCGCCCAGTTTGCGTGACTGTTTGATCGAAACATGACAGGTCTGTTGCTAAGAACGGGTCTTCCACAAGTGTTTTGCGCTACAAGGCGGACGTGACATAAACAGGACTTTGAGAGGAACCCTTTGAGGTGACCCACGACAAGACCATGGATGCCTGCATGCTGAAGAGCCCCCAAGAAGATTGGAGTTCGGACGAGGATGAGGACAAGTTGAGGATGCTGTTCGCCGCTGGGTTATCAATTTGGGATTTTAAGTATTCAACCTTGCATCAAAGGCAAGAGATCAAGCCTTTGTTTTCGGCATGTCGAAATTATCCAGGGCACAGTTGCCACTCAAAGATATCGATTGCAACCTGCCAGCAACTCAATGAAGGATCAGCCCGTACCAGAGCTCAGCTAAATCGGCTCAATGTGTTTGTGCCCCTTTCATCCCTTTCAGCAGGCCTCGTGTTCTCACACGGCCTTCGCAGAACAAGAGAACAAGAGCGCCAAAAGCGGCCAGAAGAAGCTCGTTGCTGGCAACCATGTTGGGTTGCCGGGGGGGAGTTGCCCGGACGGAATGACGGGCACTCTTGGACGTTGGGAATTGTGCTGGGGAAGTCACATGGCGTGTGGGGCTGGGGGGTCGGGATCGACTAGTTTGAAACAAACACAGGTTGGCCTTGACATGCCCTGTTCTTTCCATCCCCCCCCCCCCCGTTTCCCTCCCCCCCTTGACAGCCGCGAACACCTGAGGATCGGCATGCGCGGGGCAGCATGAAAGTCCGGCAAACCCCCCCCTGTCAACCCAACATGTTGCACGATTTGCACCCATGGACCCCATGTAATAATCAAGGCAGTCATCCTGCTGCTGCTTATTGCCGTCACCTCCTTGTTCTGCGCCTTCCTGGAGGAGAAAGGCGCAAATTCTGTCTCGCTCTCTAAACTTGCACGCCTGGTCGAGTGTTTTTGCGCTCCAGACGGCTGATGAATCACAGTGGATTGAGTTTTCTGGTTTGGATTCAGTTCACTTTTGGCGTGGGAAGAGGGTGGTAGTATTTGTGTCACGCAGGGCGTGGAATCTGGCAGGAGACCCTGGAGATTGGAAGGGCATGTGCAGCTCGTGAGAAGCAACGGGAGAAAGGGAGCGGTGGTCCAAATTGCACTGTCGTTTCGGGCTCTTCATGAGAGTGGCTACTTGCAGACTCTGCTGAGTCATGTGGCTCAAGCCCACGATTGAAGCTCAAACTGGCTTTGGGTTTTCAAGTTTATCAGGCAAGCTGCGCCATGAAATCGCTGTTGCTGGCCGTTGCGGCATGTTGTCATTGTTGGAAGCTGATTCAGCCTGGCGTGCCCGGCTCGTCCATCACCCGCGTTTGGAACAGCCCTGTGCGCAGCTTCCAGCAGCACCTTGAGGTTGGGGGGACCTGATCGGCTCCACGCAGAGTGGCTGCCCTGGCGAATGAACTGGGCCTGTCGGAGAAAGGCGACTTCTTCCTTACAATCTTGGCTCACCTTCGGGGTCGGCAACGTTCCTTGATGGCCAGGAGTCCGTGCAAGCTGGGCTTACAAGCCGGTTGTGCGGCGCACGGATTGGATGCGATTTACGGAGTATGGACCTGTTGCATTGCGCGGACCACAGACTACAAATACTACCAACCACAACAAGGATTAAGCACATTACGGATTGTGATTGGCCCTGAGCCTAGAGTATGTTTGATTGTGGTATTTTCTTGCCCAACCGATGAGAACAAAAACGGATGCCCTTACTTGGAGATCGGCAAATCTGGAAAGGGGTAAAGGGGTATAATGTGAGGAGCTTTGAATTTAGCTTGCTTCGACTCAACACGCATGTCTAAGTAGCTGTGCTGAATGAATTTGAGGGCGTCCATGTGCAACATCGCTTTTGTGAGGTGCTGTGAGCTTGCTTTGCTGCTAAAACATGATGCTTACATTTGTTGACTAGCAGCCTTCATGAGAATGCGTTAATGAATGAGAACTGGTGCCGCTTGACTTTTCGCATGCCGGGCCCCGGATGCGACCCGCAGCAAGAGGGTTGTTAAAGGGGCCCATCCCGCTGACGTTTCTGATAGCCCGGTCCAGCTGTCACGCGTGCGCGCAAGCGTGGAGGCCTGATCACTCGATTGCGCGTGTTAATACTCAGCTCGGAGAGCTCACAGAAGTGGTTTTTGCTCGAGTGCCACTTCCAGGTACTCAATGAGTGCTGCCAAAGACACTTGGAAGAGTGCGCAGGTCCGGCATGGCTGCCAGATCATCAAGACTACTCGCAAGCCCCTGAGTCACCAGCTTTCGTTCACCAGAGATTGCAACAGCCGCAATTCCCAATACCACCCTTTTGGATATTGGATCAGACCGCATCTACTTGCACAGCTTGCACTGTCTTTTTCATGAACCAGAGGTGCTTCGCCGTCGCGCATTCCATTTGGTCTGAGGTCTGCCTGGTAGGCCTTTGCCTTCTTGCGCTGCCGAGCACCTTCCTGGCACCGAGAACTCAGGCGGATCCGCTGGCTGCGGCTCGGATGAATGTACCAAAATGACTCCCTTGGTAAATGGAACCAACGACTAAAACCTGCGTAACCCTAGCTCCTTAATTGTGAGCCACACCCTGCTCGATCAAGAACCCAGGCACTTCCGTTGTTCGGTTGGATGTTCCAGGCTTCAGGCCATAGTTTCTTCATCTCTTTCTTCTTGGACGCTTCCGTGATCTTGCGCTGCTGCTGTGGCGCAGCGCGGACTCGTCCCACTTGCCCAATGGTTCGTTGCTAAACGCAAGCGTTTGCGTCATGGGTACCCCGATTTGGGTTCTCGCACGGAGAACAGGACATCAGATTTCGGGGGGTTCTCCCATTTTACACTGCGCAAAGGGGGCATTTCACGGGATTCGGCGCAGGCTAGAGCTCCGGTGGTGGGTGCGCTGGGCACGGTGTCTGCTTTGGTGTCTCGGCGCCGTCGAGGAAAACGGGTGTCAAAGGGGCGGGGGGTTATTTTGTGTTGTTTTTTTGGTTCAAACTTCAAACCACGAAAAGGATACCCTCAAAAAGTCTCACCCATTCAGCAGGGCTGAGAATTTGCAAATAAACCGCCATTGCTTTCCTTTCCCTCCTGAAGGGTCGAATGGGACCAGCCCTGTTTTTCCCCAAGCGGCAAGTTCCCTTTTTCTCTTTTGAACATGGGGGAACCCGATTCTGGCAGAATCAACACATGTCATTGGAATGTCTGCAGTCCTTTGTTTGGATCCCTCCTCAAGCTCTAAGGCTGTTTTGACCAATCGTCAGCCTAGGCGCCACAAGCTGCAAACGCGAGAATCGAGTTTGAGCCGTGGAAGCCTGACTTCGATTGGGAAGCGTGGGGAAACGCTCCAGAAGCCAACGAGATCGTCTTTCCAGGGGTGTCGCTGCCATGCTTGTCACACGAAGACTCGTGTAGATGGTGGTCAGATATGTCAGATTGGCATTTTGGATTGTAGGGTGCGCAGCTTGCAGCTTGTGTGTACAGGTCATTATTGTTTCCATCATTGTCCTGTATTTCCTGCTGGAGTTGATCGAAACATTGCTGGGCGGCGAGGAATGAGAACTAGACTAGGCATAATTATAGAGAGAGATCACGCATGCCAGACCAGAGAAGATACAACAAAACAATAGAATCGTACACCAAAGATCAACTTTGTATTAAAATTTCTCAAAATGAATCAATGGGACGATTGCGAATCAACGTTGCTGAGGCAGAACCGGCCAGGCAGCACCGTCGACGCTCCGTAAGTGTTTTGAGCTGCGCGCAAGGCCGGCAAAGCCAAGCAGGAAGCGCCTTTGCAATCAACGCTTCAAGAAACTGACCGTGGTGAAAGGTTTTTGTTGGGATTCATTATGTGTTTGGGGTTGGTTTAGGGTGGGTTGAAGGTTTGTGTAGGGATTCGTTCGGCTGGGTGAAGGTGGATGAAGCTTGGTGTTAGGGTTGGTTTAGGGGGTTTGGGTGGGCCCGGGGTTGGTTTGGGATGCTGGTTTAGTGTTTGTTTGTGGTGGTTTTAGGGTTTGTTTGAGGTTTGTTGGGTTTTGGATTAGGGATCCTAAGTGGATTCTTAAAGATAATGTAAGTGTGCCAAAGGCCCTCAGCCCCGATAAAACACAAATTTTAACAGGAGATCGGGCGTATCTTATTTACCTTAAATTATCATATGTAATGTATATATATTTTATAATATTTTAATTTGTAAATAATTATAAATTATAATAAATAAAAATAAATTATATTATATTAAATAAATATAATGGTGTTTTTAAATTATTATTATAAATGAATTAATTAGAATTATTTTAATTATGGATATATATATATAGAATAAATTTGCTTTATAATATTGTTATTATATAGCATACGGGATAATATAAAAAAACAATTAAATAATAATAAAATTATTTTTCGTTAAATATTGGAAATTGGATTTGGTTATAATTTATTAAGAATAAAATTTTATGTTTCTGAATTATTCGATTTTGATATTTGAATTTGGGTAATTGTAATATAAGATATAACATTTGTTATGTTAAATTATAAATTGTATTATTTTTTATATTATTGATTAATTTGATTATTGTTGGGGATTTGGTTACCCTATTAGATGGTATGTAAGAGTCTGAAAGATGGATTTTACATGAACTTAACTAAGGATTGGCGATTTGATGCACCATTATTTGGTTTTAATTCCGCAAATATGAGATTTATTAGCAAAACTCGTAATGGAAATTGTGGAATGCATAGGCTTAAAAAGCAATAGAGTATTGTTTAGCACGAGATTTGCCCTAAATAGGGATCTCGTATGCTTAATAACGATGCCGCTTAAGATTGAGGGAAGGCTCGTGCATTGAGGTAATTACTAGTACGCCTACTTGATCTTATTCTGCTTGATGCGCTTGTTTCTAATTAATTTTGATTGCACCTGAGTTAGACGTAGTTTGGTAAGTAATTTGGCCTAAGACAGCGGTCGTGTTTCCCGTATACTCGTTAGAAGATAATTGTCGTTTTCCTTTAGCATCGGGAGATTAGAAGCAACATAGGATTGGGTGCGGCACAGGTTAAGTAAGGTCCTATATAAATATTTAGGTATATGTTTTGTGTAAAAAAATAGTCGGACTTTGTAATCTGTTATAGACGTAAGTCTGTTTAACCTAGGTCGTGTATATGTCGATGGAATGTTTCTGACAATGGATACAATATAGCATCTCGTTATGTGTATGTTATTTGTGATTTAGTATGCTTCGGGCGAATTTGTATTTAGGATTTTTTTTTTTTAATAATGTATTATAATAACGAAATATATTAATTACCTATAATAAATTCCATAATGGGGATAGGGGTATTTAGCCGTAGGCATATTTGCTTATTTGATCACGTCTCTGCCCTGTGTTGTAAGCCCGATTTTATGTGTATGACATAGTGCGTTACGATGATTTGGTTAGTATAAGCAACTTGGGGGGGTCTAACTTACTAACAAATCTGGAATTAATCTAAGATTTTGATTGCTCGCTTGGAAATGGTGATGATGGGGTTTGTTAGTTTTAACCGAAGCAAAAGGTGAGTATTTGTTTTATATATAAGATATATATGAGATTTAGCTAGGATATATACTTGTTTATGGTATTTAACTCTGATTTTGCATAGGCATAGAATAGGATTATCTCCATGTAGGCATGCCATAAACGAACCCTTTGCCACACCGGTATCTCGTGATAGCCATGTAGGAGCTTCCAAAGTTAAGTTTGTTTACCTTTGGTTTGTTGGCTTGAATTGTTATGTTAGATATATTTTAAAATAAAAGAATTGCCTTGAGATATTTGTAAAAAAAAATAGGGGTAAATGATGGAAATCATTTGTGGGTTGACCATGAATTGGTATCTTTAGTAAATTGTATTCTCCTATTAAGTAACAATTACATATATTGCGGTACTAGCTTGTTTCTCCGAGTTCCTCGAAACTCCATAAGTATAATTTGGGATTGATGGTAAGATGTTTATTCTTAAATTGTTATAATAAATTGCTAATTTACTGAATTATGGAATAAAACTACTACTCGGACGCAAATATGGTGATGCCCTGAATAGTGCTTAGTTTTAACATAGATTCAAGTTGTTGGTAAACATGTTAGTAAACTAGAACCACAATATTAGAGTCAAGGGGCATCCTTGCTAGATTCTATTGGTGGATAAAATGGGATTCGTAGATACTAATCGAGTTGCGGTACATTGTGTGTCTAATGAAGCTGAATGATAAGGGAGATCGTGCTTACATCTATGCTAGCATTAAGCATGGCATGCTAAAGGTTAAGCAGTCGAAAGCTTTGTTAAGGTCTATTACTATCTACAAGCCCCTAACAATTAGTGATAACTTAGCTTTGCTACCCACTTTGAGCTAATGCATATTTAGACTCAAGCCCTTCTAATTTTCTTCGGTACATAAACAATGAACAAATTGCATAATCCATATCTCGGCTTGGATAACACACAATTTAAGGGATTATTTCCTTATGTTCTAATACTTTTGCACAAATTCGTTTGCGAAAGATATAGGCTAAAGGTTTGATTTCATTATTCAGTAAAATGAAGGAGGTTGCCTGGCTTTGCGAACTATGTGATTTAATTATTGTGCTATTTATCTAATTAGAATGGAGTTTTGCTTTCTGCCGGTAAAAGCTAAAGTGGTAGTTGGCATAATTTTTGCAAATACGAAATTTATTTGTAACACTCATATTCTTGTATAGTATAAGCAGGACCATTTTAAAGAGGCGCATATGGCGGCGGTTATTATATCTTAGGAAACAATAAATCGCAATATTTCTTAAACGCTTTGTTCGGCTTCTAGTCGCCAAATAATTGATTTCCAAGGCCTCGGAATTATATTCTTAGCGTTCGAAATTTGGGAAGAATATCCCGAACTCTGTTTGTGCTTCGTGTCGGGACCCAAAGGGTCGCTGGGCTGGGAGAGAGGGTTTTTAAGAAGCCTACACCACTGGGGACCCTGCGCGAACCTGTGACTTCTTTTTGGGCCACCAAAGTGGATGGCTTCCACGAAGTATGTGCCTTCGATTCAAACTTAACGTCTTTCCACACGCCGAGAATGTTGTGTTGCAAATGGACGCTTTTGCGCTTAGCATATACCATAGTCGGGAACGCATAACCTAAAGCTGCTGGACGGCTATTCTAACACAAGCGTCGCGCTATGTTGCCGCCCTAATAATTCTTGACGGACGAAGAAAACGTTAGATATATATATATATATTCATATTGCAGTATGCTTAATTAAGCTTGCCGATTAAAAGGGCTATATAAGGCAGCTGCATCTTCTTATCAATCCTGCACGGGTCAAGCCGAACATTTTGAATGTAAGGAAATCTATAATTTGGAATGCCCGCATAAATGGGGTAATCCTTATTACTCTGGCGCTAAGACGCGATTGGGAAGTGGATACATTTCTGCGCTTGTTTGGCAAGGACTAAAAGTAATTTCGATATATAGCTATTGAGGCAAAATGGGTTATCCTGAAAATGATTTGATTTGGTACAGAAAATATTTAATACGCAGAATTCGTGACCGAGTAGAATATCTCTAAATCGATACGAATTGGATTCTTGATAACTAAATCTTGCAAGCGCAATTGCTTTTTGTTAGCCCGGGCAACGTCGATATTTGATTTTTATGTTAATAACATAGGATTGTAATAAAATTATTAATCCTCCGTTATGTTAAGGCGAATATATAACGTTTTTCTTGGTATTAAGGATCTAAAAAGAATGTTTGTTAATTTATAAAGCCATGCAGATTATAATAAATAAGTTAGGCTTACGCTCTGCGGAACCCTCCGAAACAACATGATAGGAACTGAGTATACCAGCTAGCAATTCTTAGCTTTTTATTAATTAAGGTAGTAGATCTGTTTGTTGGAGGGGATGGCTTGGGCTTAGGAAGAGCTCCCAGTGTTTGTAAGGTGTGGCGTTGGCCTTTGTAGCTGATACTGCTATGAATCTTTCTATATTTTATCGCCCTCTTAAATGCTTGCTTAGCTTGCCACTTGATGGCGGAAGACCCCTAAACGGCCCGTGTTACGGATGTTGGCTGGGATCGGGAAGCAGGTATTGTGTGGGCCGTTGTACTAAAATATAAGTTAAATATATATAGAGTATAAAAGTATCTCTGACGAATGGCGTAATAATAGCCTGTTACGCTCAAAAAGACGCGAAACTCCAAAATATTTTATATAGTCCGTGCACAATGCTTTGCCTTTAGGCCACAAAATTTTGTCTCCGGGAAGCTCCTAGGGCTACTATAATAGCCCCAATCCTCACCTGTGCAAGCATTTTTAAATTAGGTTCGCATTTCGGAACTCGGCGTATCAACGAACTTAAGATTTTCACTTACCTAGGGGCTTGGGACTTAGGGAGCCATAAAAGGTACGAAATCTGAAAAGGTAATATTTTGCTGGTAAGTGTTCCATGAATTGGCATGCTATATAAATTTATGATGTTCTGACCATAAGAATCCCTAATGCATGCTGCATAATGGCACAAATCTAATCACCATGGG